TTTCTATTTTTAGTATATATATATATATATATATATATATATATATATATATATATATATATATAAAACTTCCTAAAATAATCCAAATAGAACATACATAGTTCCTACATAAAAGGAAAAAGAATAATTTTAATTAATTAAAAATTAAATATATCGAGTCATATATCATCGATATTAAAATAAATAGTGAGCAAATTATTTCTTTGAAAGAAATACAGTTTTAGATTTTGCCCTTGTTGACAATTTGTACATCAACATCCTCACAATCTTGTAGAACCAAAAAGCACTTACAAGTTGTAACCCCAAAGCCATGGCCTAGAAATTTCAATAACATTAGTAATTATTATTCCATCACTAAAAAAATATTACGAAATTCATAGTTTATCTGCCGTTAAATAACCTATTACTGATAGAAATTTTTGAATATATGTATTGTTTGAATATAATGTAGCAATGAATTTTTTTAGTGTCGATAAAAGTTATTCTTTGTTAATTCGTGTATTCTAAAAATAATTTTAATATAAATAATTTGTAATATAATGGACATTTTGATGTGCCAAATATATACATTACCTTTATGATGATTGGATTATCAGCAGAAAGAGTAACATAGCTTAGATAGGGCCCTCCTATCATTCTAGCAATGGAAAAAATCACTGCAAATAAAACCTGAAAATATAAAATCGTTAGACTTAGAAATATCGAGTAATTCGTGAATTTTAAGAAGAAAAGATATTTCTTACGACTTTTCCACATTCTCAAAACGAATTAAATTAATCTCTATTATTAGTACATAAGAAGCCATCAAGCACGAATACAACAAAGAGTATTAGTTGTGACTTGTGAGGTGACATTGAAGGATTAAATCTTCATGTATTACTTCAGAGGCGAATCTAGACATAGAAAGAGTGGTTTCGAAATAAGTGATGATATTTTTATGCATATATATAGTAGAGGTTGCGAGTAATGAGTTCAATTCAACGTAACCTACAAAACTTATTCTAGGTATACCTTTAATTCAGTCAACTTAAAAAGATTATTTTTATTCTTTTCTTATTATTCCTTCAAATGCTACTAGAAATCAATATTTTTTTTCCCCGTGAATTATTGAAAAATTTGTATTATAAAACGTGTTTTTTCATTCATTGCCTACTGAGCTAGTCCACTCTGAGAATATAGGGTGGAAAACAGATTCACAATGAAATAGTGAAAAACTTCCTAATTTGTCCAGAAGTAAACATTACTATTTTTTATCTGCCGATTCAATTAAATATCTACGAAAAATAGATAATAAACATTTTGTAGTGAGAAAATCGCGATTTTTTAATAGTGAAATGAAAATG